TGAAATCTGTGCTGATGCTTAGGCCACAGACTGAGTATTGCATTACTGAGCAGCAGCTGAGCCACTAGGATGACTGTATCAGAAGGAACACAAACAACAGAATTTGCTGTGACAGAAAATAGCATATCAGATCAGAAATTAAAAGCTGAATCTATCTAAGCTATTTACAGATGTGGGTGGTTTTATCCTGGATTTTGCTTTCAGATAAGAAAGCACTTCCACTGCATAAAATTATTGGGTGTCTGAGCACAGTCTCGGACATTTACAAATGTATACTTTTCTATAGTATTCTTAGTACATATAAATGTTTGAGGTTGTTTTGTTTGGGGGATTTGATTTTTGGGGAGTTGATTGTTTTATCTCTTGTTTGGTGTCTTTTTTTTTTTTTTTTTTTTTTTTTTTTTACACTCAAACTGTGCTCTCTTTTTCTGTGCTTCACATGAGGAGAAGAAAAATCAGATGCATGAATTTTTTGTGGTTTATGGATTTTCTCCTCATCAGTAGCTTCTTTTACCATAGTCATTGCATTATTCCTGAAGTCCCTTAAACAGTGCATTGAACAACTTGATTAACAACTGTGAGGAGCACGCCCACAAAGCTGCTTGCTTGCTCACCCCTAGCAGAGAGAACAGAAAGGGCAAAAGCAGTTAAACTCATGGATCAAGGCACAGACATTCTAATTGAGGAAGGACAAAAAATACTTGACCACCACTTCTCCCTACATCCCACGGTCAGACTGATGTTTCCCCATTCTCTGAGCAACTGCCACTTTCATAGACACACAGTTCTATTTCCGCTATCCCACCCAATGGAGCATGATGTTGTCTGGTACTGAATACCCCTTGGGCCAGTCTCAGTCAGCTGCCTGGCCTGTGAGAAACAGTACAGCAAGGCACAAGGTAGGACTCTCTGTGGTCACAGTCCTTGGGCTGGTTGTTAACCGCCACTCAAATGGACCAAGGAGCCAGACTGCTATTGACACTGTGAGCTGAACTGTTCTACTGTCCTCAGCAGGGCGCCAGGAGCACCAGTAGTGGTGGAAACAGTGTCAAAAAAAAAAACTTTGCACAGCAAAAGTTACACACTTTCAGTGGCCTCAAATGCATTTACGAACTCATCTGCCTGCTAAAGAGGCAGCTATGCTTTGTTACTAGTACAGGAAATTCTCAAGAGGTGGCTGAGAGCATTTGTGTGTGTTTCTCTGCAACGCAGATGAGCACCCAAAGCACATCCAGGAGCTGCTTTTCTCCTTATATGCAGGATTTGGTTGTTGTGATCAAAGAAGAAAGAACGAGTAGATTTCAGTCCTTTCTGATCAAACATAAAGTCTCACAGAGAAAGAGGCTTGCTTTGAATCACCAAATTTCAGATAGCTCCTTGTGCGAAAGACAAACGAACTACCCAGCCACCACTGCCTCTTCTTGTCACTTCTGCTCTCCTGAGAGGCAGTGTGAGCAACGCCAAGGGTTCACCAACCCACTCAGGAAAGCAGAACTTGGAGCTGGGTGGGAAAACAGGCTTCTAAGGGCTATGAACAGTGCAACCAGAGGGAGGGCCCAGACAGAGCGGAGAGATGTATATGCTACATTGTGCACAAATGTATTGCCCCTGTGCTGTGAAGTGCTCTGCTTCATTTGTCCTATGGGTATGTGTGAAGAGAATTTTCTGTTACAATATAGGTTCTTTATGAGAAATAATTAGGAATAGAATGGGCCCAAGGGAAGCCAGGGAGAGAATCTAACCCAGGGATCTCCCATTGCAATTAGTAATTTGCAAAGACGGTGTACATGCTAATGAGCATCTTCTCTGTTACCACTTCATTTCTAATATACCCAGTGCCTTAAACCAGAAAAATAATTTCTTTACATTTTCCTACTCTGAAAATTGTATTTTAATATATAAAAGGAAGAAAAAGAGAAGGATAGCAGCACAGCTTTAAAATAAAAATACAGACTATCTATATATATCTGATGTAAGCTATGATGCAAAGATATGAAGAGGAAAAAAAAAAAAAAAAAAAAAAAACATAGTTTGGTTCCTGTTTAGGGCAAGGTTTTTGCTTTTTTAATTCCACTACCATTATGGGGTTTTTTTGAGTTTTTTTTTTTTTTTTTTTTTTGAAAGGATTAGTAGTCTCACTACAATTTCTCCTCTAGAAAATGCAAAAGGCTGTACTCAAGGTATCCCACAGCTCCTCCTATTACACCAGAGGGAGAGGCTGAATCATAATAAAAGATGATTTTGCCTTATTAGGACATGAGATTCTCAGAGAAAGAGACATGAGTCAGTAGAAATAACTAGCCCCAGTACCCACCACATGTTACATGTTTCCCATTACTGCGGCATATCCAACTAAATGTAGAATTGTCCATAGGGAGAGGAAAAGCTATGACACTAATGAGGTCATTTCTTTTTTATTTTTGTCAGTAAATAAATAACATGTTGATATATAATGACCTCTTTTGAAGCAGGATTATTTTTTAAGTATACTTAAGATATTTCTCAACTGCCTCTTAGCATTTTTACAGTGACATAAGTTCCTTAAGGACTGGCTTGCAAGCTGACTGCTACAGACAGAAGGACTGCAGTTGCCACTGTCTGGCGTCTTAGATGCAGATTACAAGTTATTCAGTGACCTCAATGATGATTTGTGTCCATATAGTTCAGCCATCATCATTCTGTTTTCTTTCTTAAAGATACAGCTAGAAAGGAAGCATGTCACCTCCGTAGGAACGTATGCTGCCTCCCTGGGGTAGGGACATTAGTAAGGGACTCCCTAGTCTGTTTCTCTGTTCTGATTATTATCCCTTACCGATAGTTCAGGTTGGCAGCAATGAAGACACTGAGAGAAGCTTGAGAGCTATCAAAAGAGACTTTGGGGGACTATGGCAGTTAGTGGACAGAGTTCAGGTGGTGTTTTCGTCTATCTCTTCAGTGGCAGCCAGGGACACTGAGAGGACCAGAAAAACCCATCATGTAAATACGTGACCAAGAGGCTGGTGCCATTGCAATTTTGGCTTCTTCTAATACTGGGACATTTATTTGGTGCCTGGTCTGATGGCTGCTGATGGGGTCCACCCAGATCAAAAAGGTAAACACGTTCTGACCAGGAGCTGTTTAGATTCATTGGCAGGGCCTTAAAATGGGTTTGAAGGGAGAAGAGGGCAATGGCAAGCCTGCCCACAACAAGGTGCAGGAAAGCATAGCTAAGTTAGAAGGACAAGGTGCTGGTGAGGGCCCTCAATCTGTTGCATCTTATCATGAGGACAGCAATAGGGCAACTAAAGGTAAATACTTTAAAGGAATTAAGAGGTTGTCCCACTTGATCTAGCTGTAGGTGTCCCTGTTTAGTGCGGGGGAGTTGGACTAGACAACCTTTAAAGGTCCCTACCAACTGAAAGGACTCTAAATAATAATACCATCTCTAAAAGATGAAAAAGTAGCAAAACCTTTATTTATAGGAAAAGAACACACACACACAGAAAAGTTAACACCATAACTGAAGAGAAAAATTATTAGCTCACAAATGCTGTACTGCTACTGCCAGTCATACTGGTGGAGTTGCCACCTGTCAGGTTGCAGAGGCAGTAAAGTAAAAAGCGAAACATTAAGGATGTCAGAAGAGTGTTTACAGCAACCAGTCATGTATGCTCATCTGCATGAAAGAAAGAATAGCAGCTCAGTTTTGATGAAACCAGCACTTACAGGAAAACAGCTTCAGCTGCTCAGAGAAGACAGGAGAGAGTTTTAAATGAAGCCTCAAAAAAGCCTTTCAAATGATGCAAACAATTAAGACTTCACATAGCAATTTCTAGGAAGTGCTGTTGTTATACTGTACCTTGCCTATACCCAGGAGCAGAATGCATTGCAACAAACATAAAGAACATACTGAGATCTGTAGCTCTTCTTTCATGTCTCTGTTTTACTGTTTTCCTGGTTAAAAATAATAGTGTGCATACTTCACAGTACTTTTGATTTTGAATGCATCACAGTGATGTTTTACAGCCCAGCTGATGCTCTCTGTTGAAAGCAAATAATGCAACATTTGTTTGTTGCTTTGTGCTATGTTATTAGGTCTAGAGAGAAGAGCTGGCAGTGGGAGATTTTTTGCTGTACAGGATAAGCAGAGTCTTGAATCACCTTTCACAGAATGTTTTAGCTTTGCAAAACATTTTCCTCTTACTTGTACTTTTGTGGTTTTTGCTCTTCATGTAACAAGAATGGTGAGAAAGAAGCATCCTGATGCACTGCCAGCCTGAATCATCGTTCTCTAAGATGCCCCGAGTCAAATACTCAGGTATTATCTCCCATTTTACTATCTGCACAGCCACATACAGAAACCTGCCTCCTGCTCTCTGGGGTCTCCCCCTCCATCAGAGTCTCAATAAATGGGAACAGCTTCCATTAGTTCTCCTTTGTTTCCCTTTTCTTCCTCCTTGCCTCTTTGTGGAGCAAACTGTTTCTCAACTTTATTTAAAAAATAATTTTGTAATCAACCTCTCCATCTGTTTTGACCAACCACTCTCATTAAAACACGGTAATCCACATCACGGTGCCCTGAGTTCAGCAAGGGAGACCAGAACATCTTGCCTCCAGTATGTAGCTTCATCTCCCATCATAACTTTGAGTTTCCACTCAGGCTTCCCCAGCTGTATCTCTAAATTCACTGGTCCTATCTTCTGTAGGGCAATGTTTCATAGAAATTTAGTTTGAGAAAATCTCTCTCATGAAAAATAGATACCTTAAATTATTCAATAGGCATTTCCACTATCTCTTCTGTTGGAGTCAAGATGTTAGACTAAACAGAGCAATGGCTTGCTGTAACATACCCTGCCTTTTATCGTGTTTCTGTTTGGTTTTGGTTCTCTCCTCTGTCTTTGTCTCAACAGTAAACATGGTTACATTTGGAGCCCACGTAATATTGACACAGCACAACACAGTTGCTTTAGTTTGTTGCCATTTTCTCTAGTTTATTTATATTTCTTATGAGTATCCTAACAGTTTGAAAACCCCCTGGTGATTATCTTGACAAGAGCTTTTGTTGTTAATTAGGTATCACTTACAGATTATAAATATTCCCTTACTGACTTTTCATTCAATTATATGAAGACAGTGAGTATATATAGAATTAAATCCAAGCAATTTGCTTTAACCCAGCATGGTAAATAATAACTAGAGGTTTTATCAGAGATCAAATGCTAGCTGTTGAGCTAAGGAAATGAAACTAATTACAATTCTGGTGTTTTTAAGAAAAATGCAGACTTCTTCTCATGCCATCTTTCTTGGGGACCGTCTGTAATCAGAGCTCTTTGACTCTTGAACCTCCACTTCAATTTTCTGCAGATCCTCTGAACAGCTCAGTGGATATATACTTCAAACAGCAATCATTTCTGAGGGTGCTGGAAATACAATAATACTTGCATTACAGGGCAAGGATTATGTAGAGGGTAATGAAGAACAATTATTCAATCGGGATTATTTTTCTTTCAAGTATATATCAAGATCTTTGGAAAAGCAAGAAGATCCACCATCAGAATTTGCTCATGTAAATTATTCTAAAAGCTGGTTAGAGGTGGAAGAAAGGAAGTGTTTTTCCTACTTACTTACCTAAGATCTGAAATAAACTGCAGTAAATAAAACAAAACAAAAAATCATAAAACATCCAGGACAATTTGCTCCCCTTCATGTCAGAAATACAGCAATTGTTGATTAGATGAATAGCTGGGAACAACATCCCAGCATCTAAGTGGACATACTTTTCCCAGTTCAGTTTGAAATATCAATCTGTCTGATGATTTAAAGAAATATTGTGACAATATTATATTCAGTGATCCCTTTTTTCTCCTTATAGTTCCAGTGGTTCCCCAAAAATGTCTGTTCTGAAGGTGTCTAAAATAATAGCACTAATTTTCTGTCTTTTCAAGTGTACTAAGTTCATACCCTTTTACACAGCAAATCTGCAGAAAGTTATCATAACATGCATACAGATACTGATATGATACTGCCATTGATTGAGGAGCCAGCTTTTCAATGAAATAGCAAATTGTTACCTTAGCAACCTACCATCATAAGCCTAGATATCTTAATATTTCCAGAGAGGTACCATTTTTCATAGAGGGCATTATAAGTAAACAAAGGGCCAGGCAACTAAAAGTACTGTGAGTAATTTTTTCATGCTATCTGTTATTGACAGAATCAAGATCTCATCCTTTCTTTATCCTAAGCAAAACATTTCAGCTGTCATGTGGCTCACTCTCCCAGGTGAAGGGTACTTCAGAGCAAATACTGAAGAAGCTGCTACTGGATTTAAGCAAAGCTGTACTGTGCACACAGCTGAAGTAATTTTGACCAAATACCTCAACTCTTCCATAGTTACCTGAGACTATAACAAGCTTGAGTGACTTGAGGAATCACAATGGCACTATATGATACCAATCAAACATGTTTAGGGTCCATACAAAGCTCAGAATTATGATTCATCATTATATATATATATACATATATATATATGTAGAATTCTTCTCATTATGTTTTTCAGGCACTTATAAATCTCTCAGGTCTTACTGCAGCTGAATATATTCTTGTGCTCAAAAATTTCCTGAAATGACATTATTAGTAATTCTGTGGACTCATTTCTGTGAAAATTTTCTTGTTCACAAAAATCAAAGATTCAGAAGTACCTTAAAGAACACAGGTTCCATAAGGAGCACATATGCTTTTTCTCAAGAAGTACATGGAGAAATGAAACTCCTTCCATTTTTCTCTAATATTTTTCTCCTAAGTGGATTTGTATGGTACATTAAACTAAATGGTATTGACTTCATGTTCAGTCTAGGCCTTTGAAGTATACTGGATGTTGTTAGATATTAAGCATTTATGCTGAATCAGATGCCTTCTTTTTGCTGCACTTCTGATTTGGGCAATGTACCATGAACAATAGAGATGCACATACCAAAAATAATTGCACAGAGGTTCCTGAGGATGGGACCCAAGAGACCAGACTCATTACCACAGATTTAGAATTATACTTTGATACAGTTCAGAACTGTTATCATGCAAGGCCTTGTAACATTTTCCTAGAAAGCAATCAAATTTTCAGCATTTTCATAAAGAGGTGGCAGGAGAGCTGGCTGTAGAAGGATCGCCAGCCAGGCTGTGTGGCTGCCCAAATCTGACAGAAGATCCCACCAGGACTATCTGTGCCACCCTGTGCCTGCAGTCAGCCTACACCTCTCTTCATTAGGGTCATGTGTACCACATAATCTCTTTCTTAGTTTCAAGCATTGCCTTATATCTCACACGTGCAAAGAGTTCACCTTCATAGTCTCCCCTGCATTCCTACTAGTTGTTAACAGAAGATATTTTCTTCTCAGAGATCCTTCACCATTTTCCTTTTCTCATCTAGATAAAACACATAAAAATCTGTTTCTTACAGACCACTGGAAAACAACTTCCAAGTGACCCACACATTGTTGTTATGTTTTAATGACTTGCTTACCTTGCTGGACAAATGACATTCAAAAAGGGATAGCTGAGTCAGGTACAAAAATATATCACTGTAGAAATAAAAATTTGCAAATAGATTTTTGTGAAAAATATGGCAGGTGATGTGACTGATTAGCTTCTCGGATTAATAAAAATGGAAATTTAAACATAGGATAACACTGGGGGGGAAGAGGTGGGAAATAAAAAAAGGAATAGTTGCAAACTATTCCAAAAACAAAACTATTTATATTGCATAATGTCTCAGAGGGATGGCATGGATAAAATACGTCTGGAATTATGTAGGATCTGTAGTGCAATTCAAAAGCCATTAATAAGCTTTAACTAAAGAATGATTCTGTGAGAACTTGAGAAATGCCATGGATTCTTGCAACAGCAAATGACTCCACTGTGTTCATTTGGTCAAACGCCACTGAAAGCAAGTGCAGCCTCTGGGTGGAAATCACTGAATCACTGTGCATTATCTAACATACTGGAAAAGCAGCAGTTACTAGAGAGCACTAAGCAAATAAAAGAGTAGTGCTATTATATAACTATCACGGGATCATATACTTCCATTTCCATTAAAAAGGTGGAAACAAAAGTAATTGTAGAGGAGCATTTGAAAGAAACTCCTGAAATTATTTTAACAGACAAAAAGGTAGCAAGTAACAGCTACAAGAACCATTATGTAGACAGAAAATACTGCTTTAATATTGGCTTTTGCTATTTTTTCTGATTCTGCAATAAACAGAAGTTGTAAAAATTCTTCCAATTGCTTTGCTGACTTAGTGAGATTTTAGGCCGTGTCAACTTTGCTGAATTTAAAGCATCTTAATTGTAACTTACAGTATAGATTTGGAATTACTGCCGCCAAGAAACAAAAAACATTTTTGTCATTGTGTGGTCTGTAATATTCCATATTTAGATTGTCTGTACCCACAGCATTCATCTCCACAAAACAAAAAACAAAAAACAAAAAAAAAAAAAATACACCACATTTACAATACAGATAAACAGCCTCCCTCCAGGGCAAAATAAGAATCATCAGCTGAACATACCCTCTTTGTAAAAATATCTCCAAGATTCAAGATTATCTTCAAGATTATTTGTGTGCCTGATAGTCTTTGACAGTTCTGAGGCAACCCTTTAGCTATCCCTTAGAAAAGAGCAGCTTGTTTGGTACGCAATCACCCACCACATGGGCTAGCACGAGATCCAGCCATGAAAAGCCCAGCCTCTTTAAGGGACAAAAACCTGCAATGAGACTCAACTTATTTTCATTCAGTTTGATCGCTTCCAATTTTCAGCGCTTATATTTCATCATAGATTGCTGAAGACCTTACTATCAAAATACCATTCTCCATATAGATCAGGTTAATTTCTTCTTTTCTTTGAACAATGTTTTACCCAAGATTTTGTTTGAATCCACGAACTGACTTAAAAAAAAAAAAAAGAAAAAAGGATGAAATCATGCAGATCAAGAGTCCATTCTCTCTCAGCTGGAAAATCCGCCTGGTCAAGCAGTGCCTGACTACAATCGCATTTTGAAGCTGAACAAATTGACATTTTCAAAGTAGTTATTTTAACCATTGATTCTGCTCCACCCTGATTCCTTCATTTCTGTGTAATTTGATGTAGTGTCAAATGCTTTTTGAAGGTCAATATATCACACTGATATTAACAAGCCAAACAAGTAACATGCTCGAAAATATAAGTTTGTTAATGCTAAGTGGCTTGCCATTGCCAGATTGCTATTTTTTAAGGGAAATTTCTACTGGCCCCTCTACTGTTCTGTCTGAAATAGATAACAGGATTGCAATTGCCACAACATTGCATTTATTCTCTGAAATATATTAACTGTTTTTTTTTTCTAAAGTACTAAGAAAGAACATTGATGACTGACAGGGTCCCTTATTCAGCTCTTCCGGTACCTTAGCTGCCTAATTAAAAATTCAGTAATTAATGAACATTTGTGAATGTAAGTTCCAGTGGTTAAGCAAGGCAATATGAATTTTTTGATGGATAAACTTTTTTTTCAGATCTGTATTTTCAGTGTAAAACCTTCAGCTTCCTTCAAAGTAATTTATGTCAAAAGAAAATAATATTGTTTTACAAGAAAAATCCATAAAAAAGGGAAGTAAAAGAAATACATGAAAGATTTACCTCTGAGATTTTTTTTCTTAATTATTTGATGGCTCTTATGGGAGTCTGGTTAAGTGATGTGCTTTGGAACTGCTCTTTGAAGCTTTTAGCAGCAAGTGGCTTCCTCCCCAGCATGTGTTTTAAATGTGCTTTGCTGGATTGCAGTCCACCTGCACCAAACTGTGCTGTCCTTTTTACCCTTTCAATATTTTAAACATTTGACCTGCTTTCCTTCCTGCAGTTTTGCTTCCTAGAACGCTCTTGAAATAATTATGTAAATGTCATCTTAATGCATTTTCTCTGCCATGTGCATTTTCAGCCACCTTATGATGTTATCTTTTCAGAATGCCAGAAAAATGTGAACCAGATGTGCTGAGCACAGAACACCACAGCAGGGATTTCCCTCACAGCAATTACGATATGGAAGTTCTCAGGGACTCACCATGAAGTAATAAGGCTATTCTTAGTAACAAGAATGTAACCCAGGTAACAGAGTTTGAAGTATATTAAGTGTATCCATGCATATTTACCATGCTGAAAAAAACTTATATGGAAGAAAACAGTGCAATGATAAAAGAAAATCAAAATAAAAGTTGCCTTGGTATGTTACATTTTGCAACTAGTACTGTATGTTTCTGTAATTTTTATGCTTAACTCATTTTTTGCATCCCTTTTTAATATGAATTTGGCAAAAAGATGAATGACAAAAGTTGAGCTGAAGGTTGTTGGCATCTCATGTCACTGCATATTGACATTCGTCAGCCAGTTGACT